CTGTAGTCTCCGTTCTTACAGTACATCCAAACAATATTGGCGCCAATAATGCCTGAAATATTTTGTCTGACAAAAATACATGTTCAGAGCACAACACGTTTATTCCTGCAGTCCTCTGTCTCTCAAAATGTGAATAATGCACAGTTCACCCTGGTCTTGTGCCAACTCAGTGTCTGCTGGATCTGTTTTCTCTCTGCTGGTAATTGCTGGTGCTGCTAATTGATTAATCTGCCTGTTGACTTGTTTCTGTATTTTACTTCACGTATACTGTTCTGAAAACTTGGGGATACAGGAGTGTGCATTCTTATCTGTCGAAACTGCTGTCAATAGTCAATTTAGAAGAGACAGATGGAAATGAAAATCCATCAGACTATTCCACAGTGGCCTTTTTTTCTTCTTGGAGAGATTGCATTTCAACTGAACCCACCAGAATAACAGTAGTTCTGTAACTCAGAATGGTACAGGGATGATCTTACAAATCCAGTCCAGCTTTTTCAGAGTGGAGATCACATTTAAGACATGCCTCAGATTCAGAACTTGGCTTGAGTGAAAACTTGCAGAGACTGGGGTCCCCCTAGGACTTGGGTCAGGAATCCCGTCTCTAGAGGCTTATTGTCGGGTATTTCTCCATATTATTTAACGTCACAACATACCTGATCACTGGGATTTATTCAATTTTAAGTCATCTTTCATCTGATCTTTTCTGTAGGACATTTTTATGTCTGACATTTGTGAGTAGATCTTTTCTGTAGGACATGTTTATGTAGTGCCTGAAGAGACCTTTCAATGTTGCTATACCCAGAACCAAAGAGTGAAAGTTAAGCCTATTAAGCAAGTTCATATTGTGCATTTGTAATACATGATTGTCAGGGCACTAACTACTGGTTATTTTTACTGAGAACACATCACAGCACAAGGTTATCCTACCTCATAACAAGTAATTCTTAATTACCCATGATGTCAAGGACTGAGACTTTTCCTGCTTTAGTGTGGAATGTGGTATACATCAGGTTGATACTGGGTATGAAAATATCCTTTTAATAATTTGTAAAAATACAACCAATTTAATCATTTCCTCCCATTTTCAAGCAGATCCGTAGGAGGAAGCTGAGTCTTGGTGTGCCTCAGAGTTTTCTTCCCTAACAAAGAGCTTGTATGCTGTGGGGCAGCTCGGGTCAGAACAGATGGTCAGGAGGTTCAGTCAATGTGGGTGCTGGTTAAGGAAGTGTCCAGACATTGCTGGTTTGAGATGGTCCCCTGTCTCAGCTATCAACAGAAAATTCCACTTGAGTTGAGCAGGCTTTAATTCAGGAGTTTTTAATTCTTTTATTTATAAATCCTTTTATTTATAAAGCTGGGTATTTACCAAGTGAAGTACCTTGCTCAAGAGTACACTAGCTGTGTCCCATATGGGACATGCACCCACAGTCCTTGGGTTTAGAGCTCTAAATATTCATCACTCCATGCTGCACTTGCTCCTACTCATTCATAGTATGAATGCACTGTGTGTGAACTGTGAAGTGAACCAGATTTCTTTCCAAGTTCAGAATTCATCAGCCCATACCTTTTGAGGAGAAGTGGATAATGGTACCAAGGGCATTGTACTAGTCAGGTGATGATGCATTCTGGGTATAAAAAGGCTTGCAACATGTGAGGTTTCTTTAGCAATTCTGAATGGGATCAAGTCTGCTATGGTTCCCAAAACAAAAGTAGCCTGAACTTTTCACACTAGGTTGCGGTCAGGCATCCATTGTGGTTTAATCAGGAATGCCATTTTGCTACATGTGTTCGCTGTCTTCAATCACAAGCATTTTAAAAAAGTGTTATGAAAAGAAATCCTACAACTGTATCACAATATGGGTTTCCAACTTTAAAGCCTAATTATCATAAGGATGAGACATAGAGGAAACTGCACACGATACAGTATGTACCAAGGTCATAAGAAATAAACCCAATGTAATAATTTGTTAAATTGTACCTTGTATGTACAGCTGGCAAGTTCTATGCATTTATTTGTTGTGGCAATTAAAAAAAAATAAAGTTTCTAATGCAGTTTTGAAACTCTTAAAAAGCAAAAAAAAGTAAAGCGTGAGGAGTCAGGTCTTTTCATGGCATTTTTTTATTCCATGTTTTGTAGGATGTATTAACGCAGGGGTTCCCAGTCCTGACCCTGGGTACACTGGGTACACTGCTGAGTTCTGTTCAAATTCATCTTTATAAATGTACTGATTCCTCAATTGACGTTTGTTTCTATTCATAATCTTTATGATATTAAATTACTTATGAAACACACTCTTTAAAAGGTAACCCTTCACACGTTTAGGAACGTTATTCGGTTAAACAAGGGATCAGTAAACGTACTGAGAGCTCAGCTGGAATAAAACAAGGCAAGGTCCAGGGTTGGAAACCCCTGTGCTCGAGGTTCAAATACTTTAGTTTTTTACTCTAAGGGTACACAGCTGCCTTTCTGTTTTAATAGTGCTCCACAAGACATTTTCTTTAACTACTCAGAAGAGGCCCAGATGATCTTCTAGCAAGGTAAATAAATCTGTGCTGTTGCACATGTTGACAGAAGTGACAGTTTGGCATGGAGCAGCTGCAGGACTTCCCTGCACCAGTGATGATGTGTTAATGAGCGGGCAAGGAGAGTGCCAGGCCAGCATTAATTTTCTAAGGGGCTTTGGAGAGAACTTCCACTGGAGCGCTCCTGGAGCTATTGTGTTTAAATCCAGATGGCAAATGTCATAAAACCCTCCATAAAAAACTACCTGAAAGTGTTTGTTGCAGGTCTACAGGTATGGGTCTGTTAGATCATTGACCTGGTAGCTGTTGGAGCATGTGTAATTGGCTTTTCATTCTTAAACTGAGCTCCAGCCGTGCAGTAGCTAACCACAGGCATTTCTGTAAGCCTTGTGTCATGCACATGTGTGATTTTTATTATTACAAACACTGATTAAGCGCCTGTGGCTGAAAATCAAAATGAACGTGACAGTATACAGCACGGGCTTGCTCCATCACATCGTGAAGTCTAGACATGAATGTGGTGCCATGCTATAATTTTTCTGTGAACTGAAGCTTTAAATTGTAGAGATTCCAAGTAAAGGCTGACGAAGGCTCAGGTTGTTAGTATATAAAGGTCGGTTCTTCATGTCAGCCTGAAATGCCCCTACATTAAGTCCCAGAGACTAATCTTTAATTAATGTGGTGTGATAGTGGGTGTGTTTCCTGGGGTGGCAGAGCTGTCAACGGAGAGTGATGTTGCTAACCACAGCTGAACAGAGTTTGAGAGCTGATGAGCCTCAGCTGTTGGAGGGCTTTAAGTACAAGCCGAACACTTCCCTGAGCTGAGCCAGGCTGAGACCTCAGTCCTGAGCTAGCCACAGGCAAGAGTGGGCAGGGGATCAGGTCTCCCGTATGCGGAGGCTCTTAGTGAGGGAGCCAGGCCAATGCAGGATGGCAGCAGGTGTGAGGGGCTTCGGCCTGGCTCTCTCGATAAGGGGAGAAGCAGAAGAGCAATGACCTCGGAGGAGAATGAAGATTTAAGATGAGTGAAGGAACCCCGATAAAGGGGAGAGATATGATGGTGACAGTCTCTGAGGAGACTATGAACACAACTGTGAAAGGAGTTTTGCCCGATAAGGGGCGAAAGTATGAGCAACAGTCCCAGAGGAGATTGTAGAGCAGAACTCCAATGTGAGGGTAAATGGAGTAAGAGGTTCCAGTGGGACCCGAGTGTAACTGTGGAACTTTAATCCCGAAAGGAACTGGGAAGAGCTACAGTCATAGAGGAGACTGTGTAACTGTGCGATCGTAGGCTTAAACTGTAGACGAGCCGGAGATTTAAAGGGACGGCAGCCTGTTATAGTGTGTAAGAACAGAGCTATCCAGAGGGCTGGAGTACATTAGTTGAGTGTGTGTCAGAGCTGAGAGCTTGCTGGGAGCTAAAAGCGAGAAATGCGCTGGTGGTTAGGCACAGGACAAGGTGCTCCGGCAGCAGTGTGTGTGATAAAGCAGTGGGGGCCGGCCACGGGTGCAAGGTGTACCATCAGGTGGGAGGGCACAGTCCAGGGCATGAGGGTGACACACCAGAGAGGTCATGTGAGAGCTTAGGGAAAGTGCGCTGGGTCTCGGCACGAGTGGGATCTGCTAAAGAGACACTTGGGTGTTTCTGGTGAGCGAGGTCTTGGCGTGACAGTGAGGCACTGTTGGTCTCTGAGTGTGTGAGACCCAGCCTGGTGGCTTCACAAGGTCGGCAATGGCTGGATATGGACCCTGGAAGTCTGAGGTTATCTGAGGGGAAGAGCCCGTAGCCCTTGTGGGGGTGCAACAGCGAGGGAGCAGGAGGCTCTGTGTCATCTAGGAGGAGGGAGGCTCCTAGCTGAGGAGTGTCATCAAGGGTTGGAGGTGAAGCTTGTTCAGCCGGGGAGTCTGCGAGGGAAGGGCTCAGCGAGAGGAGAGAGAGCTGTAGAGGACGGTGGTGGGAGCGAGCTGGAGACTCTTGAGTCTGAAAGTCCACGAGCTGGATCCTAGACGTCTCTGAATATGTAGGCTGCATCTCCTGGTGCCCTGATGAGGGGGCCAAGAACATCACCACTCTCAGGGAAGAGTGTGTGTCAAGGAATAGAGAAGTGCGAAAAGGTTCCCCAGCAGGCTGTGAGGGGCAATGGATATGCCTGTTCGTATCAAAGGTGGCTGCCACTCCCCCTGTGGCGTCACACACTTAACGGGTTTGCCTTGTTGTATATTATGACCCATGTAAGTGTATGGTACCTTGCCAAAGTCTTTGACTTTTGGCACAAATAAAACAGGCTGGATTATATGGTCTTCATATTTAGGATGCAATACTGCTACAATTTCCATGGATTTCCACATGTAGTCATACTTGGGCAACTTCTCAGTTTTGAAGAAAATTTGTAAAAGACTGGATATTTAGGAAGTGCCCACTTCTTCTCTCATTCCGATGGCTACAGTGGAGAATTAACTTCAAAACCTCATAACCTTTGCTGTATGTTTTCTTATTGTGACGTACAGTAAGTGTTGTACCGTTGTCTTTAAATTAGTAATAACAATTAGGGTGAATTGTGTGTTGCCAACTTTGTGCCACAAAACCATTCATATTCTGGTCAGTAAGTGAAGGGAGGTTACAAGCAGTTAATTTACTTCCGACTGCAACTTAAGTAGCATCAGAAAAAACTGATGAGTGAATTTGTACTTCCCTTTTGCTCAACAGACTACAATGTATGATGCTGTGCTTCACCGGTGCCTACTTTTATGTGTATCACTGATGCTGCCGTCCAGACTACAAGGTATGCTACAGCTTTTTTTTACATTTTCAATTAGTTTTTAAGAAATTTGTTTATGCATCTATGAATTTGTTGGTCCAATCCAGTTGTGAGCAGCCCTTGTCCTAGAGAGCCAAAATCAGTGGCCTGCTTGTATCTGAAAACAATACATTGCATTTATTTGGCAAATGACAGGCTCAGACAGTGAGCTCAATTTGTGGGAGCTCAAGTGGAATAGAAGCCACATGACCCTGAAGGGCCTGGTTGCCCATCAGTGCTCTAGGCCTCCCTGCGGTTGAGGAGTGTGGCAGACCAGAGGCAAGCAGTCGGAGCTGGTGACTCAATTACCAACACAAAGGTGTAAAAAGCTCTGTTGTTAGAACAAGTCTACCTCTGCCAGACAGCATTAACCACTCAACACTCTGGGGCATTAACAGAGCTGATCGCTAGCTTGCCCTTCAGCCAGTGTCACAGAATTCATTCTATTTCATCGGAGCCTTACTGTGATGCAATGTGCATGCAAATCTTACCACACTGCAGGTGACTGTCCTCTTTAACACAAATACCTCTCCTCTTAGCTAACTTAGACCAAAGCCACAAACCAATCTCCATGCCTTGTTAACCAAACTCTTACTTACTGTGTCCTCTTTTTATGAAGAGATCTTCCAGATCTTCTGCTTGTGCTCTATAATCTGCTCTAGTGGCACAAATGCTTTGTGCCACTAGACTGGGACACTAGACTGGGACACTGACAAATTATTATAAAGTCACCTAGAATGCAAACTAACTTTGGTGAAACAGAGTGGTTCTATCTGTTGGAATGCAGCATCTAGCATAGAAAAATGCTTCAATTAATTTTCACCATTGAATTTAAAATATAGATGCTGTAGCCACTATATGATCCATTGTAAAACGGAAATTGTAATTACAGGAATTTAGAAATTCTATTGAAAAAATGAATCCCACTCTGCCCTCAGCAGTGCTTAGCCATTTGTGCACCAGGAATCCCTGTCATTATCTGTCATTTTGTGATCCAGGCTCTAAGCACAGCCTGTACTCAAGTGAGCACTTTTACTACTTGCTTCACTCATTAAATTGGAGAGTACAGTACGTGTTGTGAGTGTCTTAAACAGACTACCAATCCATGTCACTGAAACCGATACCATTACTTTTTTTCAATAGATGGCTTGTTGAGATCGTCATATCAGTTAGCTAACTGGGCTATGTTTTGAAACCTTTCTAATTTTATGAATAATTAGCAGGCTTTGTTTATCAATCACATCTGACTAATTGGCAGATGTTGCTTAACTTTACTCTTCCATAAAGCAAACTGGCTCCTTTTTCCACAACAGGGATGACCTTGTAAAGGAGAAAGCCAGAATTACAAGCTTGGTCTTCACAGTAAATCTGGAAATATGTGTTTGGGAGGTACCTCAAGGCACTGCTTGTGATGCATAATTGTAACTCTTGTCTGCTTACCTGTTCCAGGTGAAGTCACAAGTCATCAATATGTAAAAGGCATATTGGGAGAACGGTTTACCATCCAATGCAACATCAGCTTACAGCCTGGGGAGTCAGTGATGCAGGTCAGATGGCTGGATGTGCAAAATAAGACTCTGCTTTCATACATCATGAATGAACACAAAACTGAAACGGAGGGTCGAGTGTTTGTAAATTTATCTCGGCCCGATGCGAGTGCTATTACATTCAGCTCTCTATCTGTAAAAGACGATGGTTGTCATAGGTGTGCCTTTGATGTGTACCCTAGTGGACTGCAAGAAGGAAAAACATGCATAACAGTCATTGGTAAGTCATTCACAGAAAGTGTCCTGACCTGTTTCTGTTTTTTATGCAAAGAAAGAAATTTGACTGTGGAGGAAAATATCCTAATATCCTAAGAGAATTTGTGCTAAACTAAAGGGTATGCCAACATTCAAAGCTGTCAGTTTATCAATATTAACTTTCTTAGGCTATGTACCTGCCCATTTATCTGATTTTCACAACAGCCTTGTGTTGGCTCCTCCCTCTATATTCACATTTGTATCAGATGCAACATCTTTTCTGGGAGTGGTTAAATTTGTTAGAAAAATCTATTTCCTCGGTACTAGATCATGATTATTCAGCTCCTTCAGAAATCCCTCCATTCATTTTTATTGAGAAAGCTGGCGAGGGTTATGTTAACACTTAAAACAAGTGACGATTCTGCAAGCAGACTTGACAATGTAACTGCATAGAGTAGATGACACAGATGAATACCATTCTGTTAATGTTTTGATTTTTTTAGCTGCGTATCAAACTCTTGATTCTTGTTTATTGTGAAAACGTGAAGCTTGATTTTCTAAGTGTGCTTGTGATCTGGAAACAATCTCCGTGTTTAGTTTTTAATAATATAATTTGCATAATAATTAGCTAGGTATTTTATTTGTTTAAATTCTGTTAGTGTAATGTTTAAATTGTGCATTATACTTAGTATGCTGCAATAAATAATACCATATATTACTATACAAGTGTGACTATATTGTGTTTTCCTTGTCTTGTGAAGTACATGCAGGAAGAAAATGTTTTTTTCCCATTATGATTGTGAGAGAATAAGATGCTTGAATATTGAATATTTTGGCATTTTCAATATAGCTCCAAAAGTTGTGGAACGGGGGAAATAGCAGTGTCTTACATGTTTATTTTTTTAACCTAAAGAAGTTATGTTAGCAATTGAAAACCAAAGTCTTTAAATGATGGCAGGCCTCATAAACAGATTGAGAAGTTGTTTTCCTGTTTGGCCACAAAAAGAGCCCATGATCTGTGGCACAGCTCCAGGCAGGAGCCCTTGCCAGCTGGAAAGTCTCACATAAGAAACTTCTTCTGCGTCCCCTTTCTGCAGCGGTTACTGCTGAATACACTAAACCTCACTTCCGCAGCTGGTCTTTGCACTTGCTGGTCTTTATTAGGCAATTTTATAGATGTTTTCGTGGCAAATTTAAAGGGCATAAAAATGATAATTCTGCAAGGATGTATGTATTTTCAGTTTTTCACATGTGTTTTCCCTTTTGTGGGCAGATTGTGATTACGGCGTTCCTTTTACATAGGCAGTTTTACTTGTCTTATATCATAAGGGTGCCTTCAGGTGGGTCGTTGTCTTTCAAGTCTGAAATGTATGCATCTGGTGTGTCCACAAAACCAGACGTAAACCATTGAGAATCATCCACATTCAAACACATTGCCCATGATAAGGACAGAGTGCAAAAAAATCCTGGCATTTAATAGCTTTGGATTTTTTTTTAATTTTGCAATAGATTGTGAAACTATCTGTTTTGATACTTTCTCACTTTCTCAAGTTACAGGCGCTAGGCAAGGGGACAAGAGTTGACCAGAGTACCTTCGTGCAGTGATGCACCTTGCTCATTTAGAAAAGCTAGGGAAAAAGGCTTTGAATGTATCAGAATTGGAACTCTTGATTCCTGAATTGAGTCATTCCCTTACTTCGCCTGAATGACCCCAAGGATTTCAAGTTTTTGCGAAGTGTAAAGGCTGTGACGGTTCAGGGCCTGGGCCAGCTATGACTGCTTTAGCAATGTGGAGGCCCAGTAGCCTGACAAACCAGTAACTGAGGTTTGTGGTGAAAAGAAGATATTTTCCACACAGACTGAAGTGGTAAGGGGCAAGCCACTCCTGGAAGTAACAGCAAAATGACTTCTTCACCAGAAGAATAGACATTGGTTAACAAATATGTATCTTTCTATGACATAAAAAACAAACATTGCTGTGTCATCAGCAAATATTCTTTCTGTTGCAATAAAATATACACAGAGTATCTGAGTTAGTCTAGCATGGGGCGGGGGGGGTGTTATCTTATGTTATCACAGGTGTTATGACAGAGATATCTAGTATCTCTGTGAAATAACGAAAAGCCCTCAAATCGGAACACATTGCCCTGATTTCTGGTGCTTTTAAATAAAGCTGAATTTCTGTAATTCACATGTTTCACAACCCAGAAAAGTCTGGTATTCCCAGAGGTGTTATTTGTGTCGATAAAAAGAAAATGGCTTGCCAATAGCCATATCACCCTTCAACACACAACTGGCAGCCCTGTTGAAGCTCAGCAGGTGTGAGCCTGGTCAGTATCTGGATCGGAGTCCTCCTGGGAAAAACTAAGGTTGCTGCTGGAAGAGATGTTAGTGGAGCCAGTAGGTGGTGCTCACCCTGTGGTCTATGTGGGTCCTAATGCCGCAGAATACTGAATGTGTTAGAACTGTACAGAATGTTTCCAAACATAGCTCTATGGCTATTTTTTGACAAGGCCATCCCTGCCTTTCGGTTATTCCTTAAATGTCACACACTACAGGTGTCTATCTTTCTGCAAGGAGTAAGTTTGGAATCAACCCAAGTCAGGTCAGGTCCTACAGCACTGATGCCAGGATTTCTCCTGTTCTGTTCTTCCAGCTGAGGTGAAACCAGGCAGCAACAAGACTGTGGTGAGCGGGAAATCCACAGACTTGCAGTGCAGCTATGGGGTCGTCAAGCACGTCCAGCAGGTCCTGTGGAGAAAAATCACTCCAGGGTCCAAGGCGGACGTTGCCTCTTACAGCAAGATGGACAAAGGCAGTGTCAAGGACCTCTTCAAAGACCGCTTTACGATCAGCCACGGGCTGCAAGAAACCAGGATCTCCATCTCGCCAGTGAAACCGGAAGATGACGCCTGCTTCTCATGCGAGTTCAACACCTACCCGTACGGGACCAAGAAAGGAGTCACTTGCCTCACTGTCTATGGCAAGTGTGCTTGACTTTAACATGCTGTTCTCTTTCAGAAGGTTTTAATAGAACCTGACAACAGTGGCCTCAATGTTTTTCTTTAGCTGTATTTCCTGTAATTGGACTCGAGGTCAGAAGATGCTGGAGGCTTGTGTTATTTAAAATAAAAATAATAAATATCGGCACTGTCAGGAAGTGGGCACATTAAATTACAGTCTAAAAGAGCTGATAGTGGGCAAACAATAATTAACTATTTGATGATGCAAGAACTGTTTTGAGGAACATCATATGTCCTTATAAAGGTATTTTTACTAAACATGATTATGTGTTAATAGCTTGTTCAAAGCAGCCACCACTCTTGCTTCTAATCATAGCAAAGCTATATTTTTTTCCCTCTATAGTACCCTTTCAACCCTTACAGACAGAGGAATTTGCCTAATTATAGGTCATACAGCGTTCACTGTTCCTTTTGGCCAGACTCCCTAGGAGTGCACACTCGTTGGTGGGTCCCAGAATATGCACAGCATATCTGCATAGTTCCTCAACATGCAGAACTTGAGTTAATAACCTCTGCAAGGTTCTCAGCCCTTCTTGGTGATACAGATACTACTCCCTGTTTGTTGTAGTGTCACCTATGGGTGATACCCATACTTTTCAGGAAACTGAAGTCATTTGTAGATCCTCATCTTACTAGGAAAGGCGATGAGCTAAGGAAATGATTAGTTGCTTTTGACTGTTGTAATTCACTGGATTAAAGATTCTAAAGAAATCCTGTCCCTGAGATCTGAAATGTGCTATTACTTCTATAAAACTCAAGAGAATAGGTCTTAGGGTACATATATTGTACATATATTTGTTGAACAGAATTGTTTAAGTGTAAGTGACCCCTCATAGCCAAGCTGCACAACTGCTTTTAGGAAGTATCACAGTTCAGCAGCTTTAATAGGTCTTTTAAAATCACCAGCAGCTTTAGACCAGGGAAGACATTAACGTTCTTTCAGTCAGATAATTTGTTAGAACTATGGAGCAGATTCCAGTGCCTGTCCTTCTCCACCATTGTCTCCCAGTATGAGAGGTTTGATCAGTGTATAATAATGAGAGCGCTGTAGTGCCACATAGTTTTCATCATTACAACTGTTGTGCATTAAAGTTTTAAATCACCTAACAAAAAATAAAAGCACCGGTACTTTATGTGCCTTATTTAGTGTTTAATTGCTGTTACGTTTATATGAAGTTTGTTGACACAGTAGAATATGTTTTTACACAAAGGGTTGTGGATGTCTGAATGGCCATGTTGAAGAAAATGATAAGCTGGTTTCTTTCAAGAAATGGCTGGATGAGAGTCCTTGGTCCTTGGATTACTTAGCAATTAGAATGTTTTAACATTCAAAGACTTTTGCAAAATGTTCTTTATTCATAATCATGTGAAATTCACTGAGAATTCCAAAATAGCATTTAGATAAAATATTTCATTTATCTCTTTTCTAGATGTCTTGCAAGATTATTTGCAGCAAACTTGATTCTCAAAGTCTTTGCTCTGTAACAGAAGGCTTTAAAAATCATTCTACTAATTGGTTAATGTGATTTTGTCACAGAAATGCACAGAAAAGTGTGCTAAAGATTCTCTTTTATTTATTATGGAACTGTCAGATGCCAGCTGAAAAGCAAATAAGACATTTAGAAAAAGGATTTTTAACAAACCATGAAAGAAGCTATTGTAGCAATTTAATTAATTCAGATCACAGCCTACAGAGTGAATGTATCCTGTTTCTGTTCACATACTACAGGGTCTTTCTGTTGTGCTCTTAGTAAACAGCTATTCTTCTGTTTCAAGATGATGCATCTTCTTCCAGTTTAACACTTCAAACACCAAAGGCATGAGCAGTTGTACTGTTGTTTTCAGACAGTTCAACATCATCTTTTATTTAATCCATTTTGACTCCTGTGCTTTGTAATGGTTCATTAATATTGAAACCGGACTAGCCTGTTAGTCTAAACAGGCCCTGCCAACAGTATTGCATCTGCAGAGACCGAGTTGTGTCTATAGCAAAACTGTCTACTATTGCAATTTATAATTTATAACTATAGTGAAATATATTGCATGTTATAACAATCTTGTAGTTTTTTGGACAACTAGTCAAAAGTGTTGGTGTACCTCTTAATATTATAGAGAGACAGAATACCAATCTGTTGTTGACAACTGGAGAATCAGGTACCAGTTCCCATCTCAAGCACAAACATGGCAGGCAAGCTGGGCACCAAACATGGCCCGTTCAGAGCTAAAGAAGGTGTAAAGGACAATTTGTTTTCATATGAGCATTATATGAGGGTTAGTTTTAAAGTAATGCTGCCTGAATATTCTCTCATTAGCAAAGTGGTATTGAAAAGTGTAGCAGTGTAGTGTGCTGCCAATGGGGACTCTTTAATTAGCCTCATATCCGCAAGTTCCCTGTAAAATAATGACCATAATGACCCTTGTAGCTAGTAGTGTAATTCTGATATTTTAATATGTTAAGCATCCTTAAATAGTAGAGACTCATAATCTAGGTTTCATATGTCCACTTCTATTTTGACAATTTTACCTGAACTCTGATGAAACCAACAGTATAAAACACGCAGGTATTTTATTTTAGAGCACCTAGCATATGGATTAAAAGGACAGTGAAGTATCTGTTTACACACCTGGGGGAAAAGTGTTGGTTTATGTTTTGCAGTATGAATGTTTAATGTTATTCATTCTCTGTGTTTCAGTTTTGCCAAAGCCTCAGTTGGATTACAGATCTCTAGGACCTGGAATCATTGGAGCCAACTGTTCTGCTGTCGGGAAACCAGCTCCGGAGATTTCATGGAATGTAGAGACTGACAACAGGACGTTTAATGTTAGCCATTCCTCAAAAGACCGTGCAGATGGGACCACACTGGTCATAAGCACTTTATTTGTGCAAGCCAGTTTATTGGATGAGAAATCCGTCAAATGCATAGTCCACCACCGAGGCCTAGAATCGCCTATTGGAGTTACTCTGAACACCAAAAGTGAGTCATTTTCTATTTATTTAAGCCCCCGGATTCAGCTGTTGAAGGATTCTTTAGCACAACCATCCTAAAGAGCTGTTAAACATTTCAGGTTGTGTTGTATACTGGTGTGTCTGTTTGGGGTCCTCAGAAGTAAATAATAATGATAATTTCTTGCATGTGAATATTATATTGTATTATATATGTGTGTATTATACACTGGATTAGGGACTTTCTCACAGAACACAGATCAGCCTCAGAGAATTCACATCAACAGTGTATTATCAGATGAATTGGTTTAAAATACAGGTGCCTCTCTAATAATAATCCTTACACTTACATAGCACTTTTCTGAACACTCCACTCAAAGTGCTTTACAGGTATTGGGGACTCCCTTGAACTGCCCTCCCACCAATGTGCAGCCCCCGCCTGGATGATGCGATGGCAGTAAAAGTGCACCAGTCCACTCACCACATGCCAGCTATCAGTGTATACTTTGTACCACAATTCAGTTCTCAGAATGGCAGGGAGTAACACTCATCCACTCTGTCCTCATTGTGTAATGCAAAGTGTAATTCCTTAAAAAGTTTGCCACGGTAATTTGCTATGATATTTTTGTGGTGTTAACCTGGATTTACTTATCTTTCCCCATTGCCATGGCTTGAAAAGGCTTTATTGCAAATGACAAGTTTATTGTCATTAAAAGTACCCTTTTTTTCTGCTTTTATCATGGTAGCTCACTGAAAGGTTTCACTATGTGAAAATGCTGAATCTTGCCTGTAGAAAGATAACAGGCATCGCTGGCTTATTCTTGCCATCTCTGAGGTGGGGCTGTGCTCCGCCCCTGACCGTGGCTGCTGGCAGGCTGAGAGAAAACGCTCTCTCTAGATGGTAGCAAGTGCTGCTGCTCCCCAAGGCTCAAGCCTTGGCTCCTCCAGCCTGGTGCTGGAGAATTCTGCACTGTCTGGGTTTTTGGAACCGACTGTTAACTTTCATGAGTGACAGAAATAATTGGTGAAGCTGCCCGTCTTTCTTCCTGTGATTCATTTCTCTTTAATATTCACAGATTGCATTAAGTTATTTCGATGCCCAAAAAATCTTGATTGATTTGAGCACTGGACCGTTGGAAGGCAGAACATCCACCTTCCTCCTTCTTCCTTGCTCATGTTCCAGACAAGTGCTACAGTATGTACTCAGCAGCACTGAATGCATTAGACTGCTGTGCGCTGTTGACAGTTTTTCACAGAGTTTAAAGATGGAAGTAGATCCAGTTATACTTGTTATTCAAGCCGTGAGGTGGTGTTTGCATGCCACCAGAGGCTTCAGGTTTCTTGTTTCCCTTCCGCACCTGGAAGTCCTAGGAGGGAGGTGTCTGTGAGAACGCAGTGGGGTGAGACATCGTGCAAAGGCAAGCTGACCTTGATCAAATGTCCAGTGGCATCCACAGATCCCCAGTGCTTTTTCTTGACTCGCCCTCATTAACCAGTTTTGTTTGTCAGCATTTCCAGTGGCATCAAGAGAGAAGGTCACATCCGCTTCCTGAATATCTGGCCCTAAAATTAAAGTTTGTGATGCAATACTCTGCTCGTAAAAGGCATAATTCATTTATACTATGAATACACAATCTCTCGTCCAGCACAGCCAACAGAAGAACAAAGATAATAATGAAGTGTGTTAGTGACATATCAGGTCACAGTTCTTAGTTTTCCCCTGTGTGATAGTATTTATCACAATCTGCAAGATTTTTTTTTTTCCATCCTGGGAATACAATGTCATGTAATATAATTTGTCAAGTTGTTATAATCAGATGGAGCAAACATTATCTTGTTTGAGTTTTGCATTTAAAACCATATGTACCATCTCTATTAGCCTTTGACCAGCAATATAAAACCCTTAGAGAAGTTACAAAGCTGATGATGATGTTCTCTGTAAGGCCATGGAGGGATTCTTGGTAGAATTATTTCTGACAAAGACAAATGTTATGACCGAATGTAGCAGTTCAGTAGTTATTTTAAAATAAGGAAGAAAAAATGATGAATCTTTTCCATAGCATGGATGTGGACAGGCCTTTAAAGGTCCTTTTCATCATAAAAGTGCCCCCGCTAAGAAGTAGAACAGCCACGTGATATTTGTTGGGGGGAAAAAAAGCCTTTTTCTGAACTAAGTGCTCGCCAGCGGTAAGCGCCATATCATTTGTTTTTCGAATCCCATCTGTGTCAACATTGTACCACCCTGAAAGGTCTTTCTTGAAAATAAACACATACAGCCTTTCCAGAAAGTTACTGTGCGTTGACTGAATGGATCAAACTGAGTTACTTTTACAGTTAAAGTGATGTAGTCCTATTTCCCTACTCTCTGTGAAAACACATATGCCGTGCCACAGAAAACAAGACGATTTTCTTGTTTCTTATTCCAACCATTATCTCTTCCCCACAGCCGCTCAAGAGTCTGGCAAAATAAAATCTCTGTGGTAGTGTCTGGTGTGGGCTGGCACATAAGTCAGAGGTGAAGAACACAGATTTGCGCTCCTAGTGGCCTGTGTATTGTATGAACAAGTCTTCGGTTCTCCCACCCAGACCCTGGGCTCATGGTGGCAAAGCTAACTAATTAAGAAATCATAAGTACTGTATCTTACGTTCTTATGAATGGAAATCATGCTGTGCCAGTTAAGTTGTCTTTGCTGTTCCTCCCCGTTATTTCAAACCATATTTAACATGCAGTCCATGAATGCCGAAATCAAGAATTTTTCATATCACTGGTTCGACAGTGTTAACATAACAGTTTGGAAATATAATAAAATACTAATCTCAAATTCCAGTCTGTCAGTTTAGAAAGATGTGTATGTACTTTTTCATCCCTTTTTTAAGCAGCTTCTGTAAGCTCCCACCAGCTTATCTGTTTGATTGATATTTAATATCATTCAAATAACTAACATTGGAATAGGTCTATAAACAGTGGAGGTTGAAAAGACAGTGGGCAATAGGGTTTTTTTGCTTGTTTGATATAGATAGGCTAAAGTTTAGAAGACTGTTACTTTTTTACTGCAATTTAGTACAGGTCTTCATGTAAGGGAATGTGTGTTTTTCAAGTGGTGGAAACATTTTATTTAGCAGAAACTAATTTTAAAATCGATCAGGTTGCAGAATCTCCAGCTAATAGGGATTTACAATATTCCAGATGAAAACCAAAAAATCAATATATTTGATGAAGACAGATTGTTTATATGGATATTTCTATGTATTAACATTGAACTTTAATGTTGTTAATGTTGTTTCTGATACAGAAATGTTTCTGTCACATTCAGTGAATTACTGATTTATGGTTGTCTTCTCTTTATTGTATAAAGGTCCTGAGAATTGCAGTTTATGTTCACAGATCTAGCAGAATATCACAACAGGCTTAGTTAATCGTAATTTTAGATGGATTTTTTTTCATTTGTTGGCTTAAACACTCAAAAATGCAACTTTGATGCATTAGGAACTGAGCGTGCTGGCTCTGATGGGACTTTTGTCTGTTCCTCCTGGCTGAGCTGGTAATTTTTCATCTGGTTTTTTTAAGCGAATTTAACACAGCTACTCCAAGCCAGGAAACTAAAAATAAAAATTCTGACACTTAGATAAAGATTCTCATGACAAAAGCTCTTGAACTTTATCAGCAGTATAAACTCAAATTAAACATGGCAAGCTAAATGGGAAAATACTTTCACAGATGAATCCGATTATCACTTGTCATTTCATTTCCTGTTGGGAATTTCTTTGTTTTCCTTGTAATATGATTAACGTCTAGGCTATAACGATTTGTTTGTATCTTGACATTAAATCTTAATCTTAAATTAACATTACTTTGTATTTTTGGTTTTCCAGATCTGTAGAAGAAGTTACTTCACCACGTATCATGTGGTTTGTGTTTGTGTATAATGTCATTGGTGGGATGTTATTCTTAAATAAAATAATGTTCCTAATCTTCAAATAACGTCAATGTGCATAAATAAAACTGGACCGACCCTCAATCCACCAAAAGTTTTGAAGGGGATCTCCAGTCCCAATTTCTCAGACTGGTTATGAAATCTTGGTAACAAAATAAATTCATTGACGGTATAGAAAAATTTAACAAATTTCAAATTAAGCACAAAATCAGGAACCTTGTGAAAGTGCTGTAAGTCACCATGTTGTCACTGTAATGAATCATGTAATGGGATGAATGAGCAAATAAGTACGGGTTGTGCAGCACACATTTCTATGGAAGCCTGTT